GTCACTAGGAACTCCTCTGCAATGGTTGGTCCTGTTCTCTCTTCTGAGTCTTCCTTTGGATGTTGGTTACTAATGCTGTCCTAGTCTGTGGCCAGTGCTTCATGGGAAGGGGCATCTGGAACACCACTGACAATTCCTCAGAGCTCTGGTTGTGAATGCAGCCCCACCCTTTTTGCAGGGCTTGCCAATGTCCAGCATGCTGCTTCAGTTAAGTCAAATGTTCTGGTATATATGTTGGTTCCACCAAATTCTCAGCTTGCTGAATGTAATGTAAATCTGACTCAATTATTTTCTGTAGTTTCTCAGTATTGTTTGTTAGTTTTCAGCATACAGCTCATGACACTAAGAGTTTTCTGAGACTATGTTTCACCAAGGTTCTCAGGCTGCTAGAGTGCCACAGCAGCAGAAGTCTTGAAATGGCATCTTGCTTCTGTTGTTTGTTGGCAATATCAAGTATCTATGCCCAAAGGACAAGGCTCCCCCCAGTGTCTCCTGTGATTGCTGCTACTGTCCTGGGTATGGCCTTTCCCTCTAGCTATTTAGAATGCTTTTCTGATAGCTGTTTCCAGATTATTCCCTAGAGACTCTGGCCAATCATGACTGCATGTTATCAGCTATCTTTCCTAAATATATACTTTAAAAAATTTAAATATTTTCTTGTTGTACATGTATGAAGTGTGCCATGCACAGAAGTCAGAAAACAACTTTCGAGAGTTGATTCTCTCCTTCCACTGTGGATTCTACACTTAGAGCATAAAGCTTAAGCCACGTGTGCTTTTAATTGCAGAGTCACATCTCTAGCCCTACATATAAGCTCTTTATGACATAAGTACTAAAACATACATGTATTTATGACTGAGACATAGGAAGGTATGCTTTTAAAAACCTTGTAAGCTGCCAAATACGGTAAACAGAGGTAGAGAAGACCTCTAACAGTCTTCTGTTTACACAAGGCAGTGTTAACTCCATTGCATAAAGTAGCCTTACAGTTAAGAGAAAGGATAACTTCAAAAGAAAATAAGCAAAGGAGAACAACTGGTAAGTCACAAGTGTGAGGCATAAAAAGTCAGTCCATTTTAGGGTTATCAAGTTTCATTGATAGCAAACCACAATTTAACAAGAAGGTACCTCTTCTCCCCATCAAGTTGCCAAACACTAAAATGAACATGACAATTCAAAATGTGAATTTCTTTGGAACTAGCAATTACAAGCTTGCTGATAGGATTTTTTGAAAATGAGGATGGGTTTGAGAAATTGTGCAAACTTTGTATTAACTAAAATTGTTTTATTATGCCGGGTGGTAATGGCACATGCCTTTAATCAGCACTTGGGAGGCAGAGACAGGTGGATCTCTATGAGTTCAAGGCCAGCCTGGTCTACAGAGCGAGTTCCAGGACAGGCTGCAAAGCTACACAGAGAAGTCCTGTCTCAAAAACAACAACAACAACAAAAAAAAAAAACCAAAAAAAAATTGCTTTATTATATATCCATTATTGTGGACTTTGACAAGAACGGGGCAATACTGCTAAGAGATAAGGCAGATTACTAGATACTACTAATTGTCATTATTGTGAAAGGCAAGTATTTGGTATCGAACAGTTGTTCTAAGTGAAGAATTTTTTCCTCAACATTAATTTTTAATTAAAAAAAATCATTTGTATTTGTATTCTGTGTATGTGAATGGAGGTATCTGTGAAAGACAGGGACATTGGATCTCCTGGAGTTGGAGTTATAGATGACTGTGCGGCCCAACATGAGTGCTAGGAGCAGAACTCTGTAAGAACAGTATGTTCCAATAACTGATAAGCCATACTTCCTCCAAGGTTCTAAGTAAAATGTGCTACCTAACTATGTATTAGTTACTTAGTTATGAAAAATGTTACTATTAACAACCCACACTGGACTAAATGATATTTTTTTAGGCATATTCTCAAAATTGAGAGCTAAAAATCTTAATTTCTGGTTAATTGTGAAATTCCATCTCTAGTTAATCTTATCATAAACTTATCATTTCCTAGTAAGAGGTTACTGTAACCAGAAGCAGACTTGAAAGAGGACATTTCTTCTAGAAAGCATGAAAAAATGCTACATACAATGATGCTACAAGATTTCAGTTAACACTGTATAAAGAATCCTAACTTAAAATGCAGATATATTTAATAATATATATAATTAAGTAAATGCATGTGTGCATATATATTTATGATTGTTTTGCCTGCATGTATATCTATGCACCGTGTTCATGCCTCAGATCTGTGGAGGCCAAGAGGGGAAGTTAGATCCCCTGAAACTGGAGTTACAGATGGTTGTGAGCCGCTAGGACTTGAACTTCAGTCTTCTGCAAAAACAAAACAAGTACTCTTTTTTTCTCTTTCTTTTCTTTCTTTTTTTTTTTTTTTTTTTGGTTTTTTGAGACAGGGTTTCTCTGTGTAGCTTTGGTGCCTGTCCTGGATCTCGCTCTGGAGACCAGGCTGGCCTTGAACTCACAGGATGCTGGGATTAAAGGCATGCGCCACCGCCACACTTTTTTTTTTTTTTTTTGAGACAAGGTTTCATTATATAGCCCTGGATATCCTGAACTCACTATAGACCAGGCTGGTCTTAAACTCAAAAGAGGCCTGTTTCCAGACTGCTGGGATTAAAGGCATGCATGTACCACCACAATCAACTACATTTAAAATTTTTATATAGTGATATTTCTTTTTCTTTTTTTATTAAGAAATTTTTTTATTCATTTTACATACCAATCTCAGATCCCTCTCTTCCCTCCTCCCACCCCTCCAGCCTTTCCCCCCCATCCCCTCCTATATATCAAGACATTTCTAATCACATGGCACTTTAATAATATATACTAATTATCTCTTTATTTGGATTATTTATCTTTTCCCCTTGAACTAACATATTTTAAAAATAGTTTAAAGGTCAAGAAAATGACAGTATTTCTAGAGTGCTATCTGTATGATCCTATCATAGCACAAAATCTATCATTTTGCTGTATAAAATTATATAGTGGTTATTATCAATAACTAGCTACTACCAATCAAAAGCAGGCATGGGTATTAGGAAAAAAACCATACAACTAGGAAAAATAAATGTAAGCCCATATTCACCTAAATCCAGAAGAACAAAATAATACCTCTCAATGGTGAATGGGATAGTTTTGGGCTTAAATTTTAAGGAAACAGCACTTGATTTCCATGTAAAATTATAACTATAAATCATCTGTGAATACAAGTACTAAAATTTTAATATTTAGAGCACAGAGACCATTCTGAAGTAATAAACCACATTTCTGAAATTCATATTGTCACTAATTTGGAGTAGATTCTTCTATTTTTCCTATATATTATTCCAAATAAGTCTTTGGTACCAATACAAAAGGAATGGCTACCAGTTTTAGGAAGGCTTCTTGGAGAACTCCTAAATAGGGATGATCTAGCGAATCTCAGAAATCTTAATAAAAACGTGATCACCATAGGGTCTTAGGGATAGGGGTACAGTGAAAGGATAGAACAGTTCACATCCCTCCCAAAGTAACAATAAAACTAGTTCAAATGTTTCAAAGTAGATTTATCACAACCCTAAAATTAAAGCCATTATTTGCAAATGCATTCTAATACTATGATATTATTTAAAATCCTAAGAATAAGACACATATCACTTTGAACAAGGGTAGAGATGGTCCCAGCTGCCTTCTCCTTCCCTCCATCACAAGACTGCACCTGTCAGAATCGACCACTATAATCATGGAGGATGAGGGACTGTCTTCATATAACCTCCACATCTGAAGAACTCCATGTCACAAAGATCAAAGTATATAGGAAAGGGAAGGAGAATTTCCCACAATAAAGGTCATCACTTGTAATTCCAAAGTAGACAAAACAGCTTAATTATTTCTGTTATAATTAAAGCATTCACAAATTATAGCATATAGAGGTGTACTGTATATAACTTGGAAGGCAATGAACCTACAACTAAATATTGAAAGGTTATTTTAATGCCCTGGGAGTTTGTAGAGTACTTTTACATCATTCAGCTGTGACTCTTATAATTACAATATAAAAAAGCAGGCATTATTTCCATCTCATGAAAGAAGAAGCTCAGAAATCTAAGGCTGACAAAACAAGAACTCCATCTGTATCTTACACCTCCATATTAAATACTACCCTGCCAGGAAAAACAATGGATATGAATCCAATCCATGTGTCCAGTGGAATAGTAAGTTTACAGAATTTACAGTCAACTCTGTGGAACATACTGTGGAAATCAAACTCTATTTGTATTTGTTGTTCTCACTCTCAGGGGCTCAAAGATTTTGGCCCTAGCTGCACTGCTATATACTGAATCCTTCTGGGGTAAATAGTCACATTTGGCACTTGTCTTGCTTCTCTGTCTCGTTACAGTACAATGTCTCTACAAACATCAGCTCACAACACAAAGATGAAGGGAAGAGTTCCAAGTTTGTTTGCATGGTTCTGGCATAGAAAATGAAGGATTTTTGAAAGGAACATATACATTGATATAAAGAGTAAGCTTTCCACCAATGTCTCCCAAGAGTCAAAAATATGTGGCAGTATCTATGACCTTTAATCTTTTTTCTTCATTACTTTGAAGAATTATAAAATGGATAGAAAAGTTGTATCATTGTATCTTTGTATCATTATGCTTATGTCTTATGTACATGTGTACATGTCTGTGTGTGAGTGTGCACATGGATCATTGCATGAGTGTGGAGGCCAGGGGAGAAACTCCATGTCTTTTGCATGGGTTTAGGGGATCCAAACTCAGGATCCAAACTTCAAGCTTCACTGCAAATGCTTTTACCTGAAGATCCATCTTCCTGGCCCACAGAAAGTTTTATCTTCTGTTAATGCTTCTTTACTCAGCGACTAAGCAGTCAGAATATACGTTTCTAGTTTCTTATTGGAAACATTTTAGTTGTCTAACATTTTTATCTATTACATGAGGATGTATTCAATATGAAAGATTAGAAAACTTACCTCACAATCAGGGCATTTACTTGTGGTATATTCCTGAGTTACTAATAAGCACTGTTCACAAAAGGCATGTCCACACTGAAGCTCATGGTGGTGACCTATGGATGAAATTCCATCAATTAAATATTTACAATTTGTTCATGTCTAATGGGGAATAGTTCTCCATCAAAGGGCAAACTCAAAAAGTATTCTATTATATAGGAAAAGATGTCTATATCTTTTAAGGCTGACTTATTAAAATAACATTTAGGAGAAACTAATGAAGTCAAAAGGGGGGAGGGGAGAAAAATCAGGAAGCAAATCATGCAGAGCTATTTAATGTTTGCATGAATCCAGTTTTGAACCTATACAACCATGAACTTGCTGTATCTTACAATCATACAGAGTGTTCTGACAGATTTCATTTGACCTTTGTAAATATCATGTCTAGCTGGCTGCAAATATTATGTATATTTAAAAAAATACCTAAAGATGGAAAGATGTGTTGGTAATCTGGCTAATTAAAAAGTTTAATACCGCTGGGCGGTGGTGGCGCACGCCTTTAATCCCAGCACTTGGGAGGCAGAGGCAGGTGGATCTCTGTGAGTTCGAGGCCAGCCTGGGCTACCAAGTGAGTTCCAGGAAAGGCGCAAAGCTACACAGAGAAACCCTGTCTCAAAAAACCAAAAAAAAAAAAAAAAAGTTTAATCCACGGCTGGAGGAATAGCTCAGGGGTTAAGAGCACTCAACCTGCTGCTCTCCCAGAGGACCCAGATTCAATTCCCAGCACCCACATGGCAGCTCATTACTGTCTGTAACTCCAGTTCCAGGGGATCCAGCACCCTCACACAGACACACATGCAAGAGAAATGCCAATGTACATACAAATAAATATATAATAAAAATGAAAAAAAAAGTCTAATCCAGACTCCAATCTTATGTTTCCATGTCCAATTTTCATTCTGTTTGATAGCATTACCCTTGGCTAATCTGTATTTCCTATCTTATGAAAGGATTAGGAAAAGCTGAAATGAAACACTGGTAAGAATTCTCTCACAGTAATCTAAGATGTTAGCAAGGATGGAAACCAGGGTAGAAGCCAAATGTTATTATTTTCATACACATGACCCACATTAAGATTATCTTTGTAAACCTAACATTCGAAAATATAGTATCAAGATACCAAGAGTTAAATGTGGGCAAGATGGTTCAGTGGGCAAGGATGTGTTCTGCTAAGCCTGATGACCTGACTTCAATCCCTAGAACTACATAATAGAAGGAGAATATGGACTCCTGCAAGTCTTCTTCTGGCTTTCAAATGCATGCACCACACAAACACACACTATACATATATATGTATATATAGTATATACATACACATATATATGGAGAGAATGTATATATTAATGTATTTAAAATATTATTTTAAAGTATTCAAATGTACTAGGTAGAATTTGAAGCTTATCATAATAAACTTTTTAAAAATTATGTAACTTTAAAATATTTATTTTTATGTGTGTGATTATTCACATTTGTGATACATGTGGAGGCCAGAGGACAACCTTGAGTTCTGTTTCTCAGAAGTGGGCCCCTTTGATTTTTGAGACTGGGTCTCTAACTGGCCTGGAGCATGTCAAACAGCCTAGGCTAGCTGGCAAGTAAGCCTCAGAGATCTGTTTCTGCCTCCCCAGAGAACCAAAAACATGTGCCAGCTTTTTTTTTCCTCAGGCACCTGGCACACACCGGGTGCATGGGCATACATGCAGGCAAAATACCCTTACACACAAAATAAAACCATTTTTCTTAAGAAGGAAACTTAAATTAGTAATGTTTTGCTAGAACACACTTATGGAATTTGCTGAATTATAATTTCATTAATTTGACTTTTTATTAAAGTATTTTAGGGTACTGGAGAGAGTGCTGGCAGCTCCTCCAGAGGTCCTGAGTTCAATTCCCAGCAACCACATGGTGGCTCACAGCCATCTGTAATGAGAGCTGATGCCCTCTTCTGGTGTGCAGGTGCACATGCAGGCATAACACTCATATCTAAAAAATACATAATAAAATTTTAAAAAAGCATTTTAATTTTTCAGCAAACTGAAATTTGGTACAAAGATGCTATATTTTAGTGCAGGCAAAACACCCTTACACACAAAATAAAATCATTTTTTTTAAAGGGAACTAAAGTTAGCAATGTTTTGCTAGAACACATTTATGGAATTCTTACTGAATTATAATAATTCATTAATTTGACTTTTATTAAGGTATTTTAATTCTTCATCAAACTGAAATTTGGCAGAAGGATTTTAAAGTCATATTTGAATTTCAGAGATATTAACCAAAGCAATAAAAATTCTCAGCTCCAATACTGTACAAGTTGATCTATAGTACACTTCAGCTTACAAAACATAACTATTTTACCAGTTAAGTATTTCCAAATCCTAGCTTTAAAAACAAACCAGTAGCTTTAAAAGGTTATGTTTAAAAACCTTATTTTGTCACTCGGGAGGCAGAGGCAGGCGGATCTCTGTGAGTTCAAGGCCAACCTAGTCTATAGAGCTAACAGAGTTTCAGGGCAGGCTCCAAAGCTACACAGAGAAACTATCTCAAAAAAAAAAACAAAAACAAACAAACAAACAAAGACAAACCTTATTTTGTAACAATTTTCATCTTAAAATGTACATTTTCTAACAGAAGCATTGATCAAAACTCCAAATAGAGCCAGGCCTAGTGGTGCAAGCCTGTAACCCTGACTACTTAGGAGGCCAGAGCAAGGGCAGCTAGTGTGCCTGGCATGTACGAGCGTCTGGGTTCAAACCCTAGTACTGAAAAACAGATGCTTCCACAGAGATGCCTACTCCCCATTGAAAGTGCAACCAGTTTTCCCCACAGAAGGTTCTGTCTCCTAAATGGTGGCCACCTTGAAAGAGCCACTGACCTTCGCTTTTAAAGAGGCAAAGGAACAAGGAGTTCAGATGCAACACCTTATTCCTGTCAAAGTTCTCTGAAGTACTTGTTAAATTAGAATAACCTGAACTTAAAAATTCATTCCTCTAAGAACTTTCAGTCTACTCGAAAGAAAAACTACCCAGGGAAATCAAGCTTCATTCCTTCTTGACCACAAGATCACACAACATTTCTCTTGTTTTCGTTTCTCGATACATGGTTTCTCTGTGTAGCCGTGGCTGTCCCGAAAACCACGCTGTAGACCAGGCTGGCCTCGAACTCACAGAGATCCACCTGTGCCGAGTGCTAAGATTCGAAAATACAGTTTTGTTTTGCTTTTTTTTGACCAAAGGAGGAAACAGTTGGAGGAGGGGGGGTTCCAGCTCAGGAGCACTACAGGCTTCTTCAAGGCCCGCTCTTCCAGGAGTCTATCCACTTGCGGACGTGTGAGGGGAAAGCGCACCAGAGACGCGGCAGTGGCCTGGGAAGGGCAGCGAGGGGCTCCATCTTCCCGGGTGTGTGCAGAGAACCTTGAGGGGCACAACTGCGCACAAGCCCTGGCCCCGTCCGTCCGCGGTGGCCCAGGCCGCTCACACACGCTCACCCTCACAGGCCTAGCACAGCTCCCACAGTCGCCGGCCGGCCCGCGTGCCCCACGGGGACCCCTGCCACCCCCGGGCTCCTCACCGGAGGAGGCCACGGACACCTTTCTTCCACACCGAGTGCACTGGCACCCCGAAAAACCCCGCGGGCCACTCTTACTCCCCACTATGTGGCAGGAAGGCGCGCTGAGCCCGGCCGTCGTCGTCGTCGAGGCCTCTGCCGCCATCGCTCCTCTCTCGGGGAGGAGCAGCAGCACGTGCGAGTCCCAGCGGCCCTTGCGGCGAGGGCCAATCATAGGAATCTGGTGGCCATAGGTAGCCAATCAGGAGGCAGAGAGACTAGGTCCCACCCCACTCCCCCAGGTTGCTCCTGCCGTGGGGCTGAGCTTTCGGTTTTACCCTGGACACCTGCATTCCAGAAAGAGGCCTTGAGTTTACCTATCAGTTCTTGCCCAGGACTCACCACGTTACACCTTTAATCAACTCAGATTTGGGCTTTGTGGATTATTGTTTACATCGTGAGGGAACCTCAAGTATCAGGTCTTTGGAACAAAGGAGGTCCCTTCTCTACCTGCTCTGCGTTAGGGCGGCAATCTCTGTCAGACCTTGGTAGCAGCTGTAGCAGAGAAGTCAATTAGCTACCCTTGTGAGAGATTCAATTAATTCCAAACAAAGGGATGCTCGTTAACGAACAGTTGCTGAGACCCATCTACAAGGCTCTGTCTTGGGAGACATCAGGGGCGCTAAGAGTTTGCAAACTAATAGATGTCTGCTTGAGAGGTGTGTATCTAGAAACAAAGTATTTAAGACCTGAAGTCAATATGGTTTGCAGTAGTACAGAAAGCCTCCGCCCCCAAACCCCGCTACTACTAACAGGAGTAAACAGGAAGTAAGCATTCCAGGGAGAAAGAACACTAGGAGAGACTTTAGCTGGGAGATGCAGTGCTAAAGAATTAATTCATAAATCATTCAGCGAGAGTATTAGTTTCCTTAATGTGGGACTTTTGGAGGGCTAAGAAGACTTTTGGAGCATCCTGAATATTGGACTTAGCACTTGAATCAGGAAAGCACGGAGTGGTTTTGTGAAAAAAAGAATGAAAGAATATGGCAGATAAGTGACAGAAGTATTTCAGAAGAAGCACCCAGAGGTGGCAGGACGGACTCAGCCGCAAAGAATAAAGCCTGTGTATATAGCTTCTCTTTCCCTCTCTGTGTTGCGCATATGACTGTATGTAAAAAAAAAAAAATTGTGCTCAGAGGCACACCCCTCCTAGAACAGCAAGTGACATTTTTGTTTTTTGGAAAACAAACTATTTTTTACCTTGAATTTTGTATATGTGTATTGAAACATTGTAAAAGTGAACGTACAGTATACCTCAGTATCTAAATGTGTGTCATCCACTTGTAAATTACTAAGAACATGATTGCTTTTTTAGAGTGTCTTTTGAAAATAGTGACCCAGGTGGTGGTGGCACATGCCTTTAATCTCAGCACTTGGGAGGCAGAGGCAGGCGGATCTCTGTGAGTTCGAGGCCAGCCTGGTCTACAGAGGGAGTGCCAGGACAATTGGGGCTGTAACACAGAGAAACCCTGTCTCAAACAAACAAACAAAACCGAACAAACAAACAAAAAATTTAAAGGCATAGTCCTACTGAAAATTCCTTATTCCTTTTTACCTTTAGAAAGAAATATGGATGTTCCCATTCAGCCATCCAGTAGTTTTTATTGACTCATAATGAAACTTAAGGTGCTTCCTAATACTAATCAAGCCAATATTCTTATGTAACATGTTGATTATTCTTACCTTACAGAAGTTTGGTCTCTTTCCTCCTCTTCTGAAACATCCACACCTTTCTCTTTATCAGCTGATGTCTTAGCAATCTTTGTAGGTTGTTTTAGAACTTTGAAACCTCATGCTGACTACCACTTTGGCATGTACAACAGTCTTTTCCTCTAAGTATTAGTACTAGTTTTTTTGCTTTTTGCTTTTTGAGACAGAGTCTGACTACAATTCCCAGGCTGATTGCAAACTTCTGGACTCAGGTGATCTCTCACTTGAGCTTCTGCAGCTGTTGGGGTAACAGGCACACACCACTATTTGCTTCTTGTAGTGTAATTTGAATAATAACAATCTCATTGCATAGAGATTCATTTTGGCCAAAATATGAATCTCTGAGGTGGTATAGTATAGTGGTTCTTCTGAATATCAGTGGTATTTCTATCATCTGGCATGGGGCAGAGAATTATGCCTTTGGCAGTCTCTGAAGCTGAATAATCTTGGATAAATCAGGACTAGTGAAGAATACAATGATATGCATTTAGACCCTAATAGTAGGTACTTAGTATTAAAAAGAACGCACAAATGGAACAGTTAAGGTTGTCGTCTTAATAGTTAATCTACATTTGTTAGGTCTTTTGTTTGGAACCCTTATTGCCAATGGCTGTGATAAATTCTTATGACTTTGGCCTCTGCTTGCTGTGGGCTGTTCTGTATGGCAAATGTGTTGCTCTGATTGGTTAGTAAATAAAACACTGATTGGCCAGTAGTCAGGCAGGAGGAAGTATAGGTGGGACAAGGAGGAGAATAAAGCTGGGAAGTGGAAAGCTGAGTGAGAGACACTGCCAGCCACCACCATGACTAGCAGCATGTGAAGATGACGGTAAGCCATGAGCCACGTGGCAAGGTATAGATTTATAGAAATGGATTAATTTAAGATATAAGAACAGTTAGCAAGAAGTCTGCCACGGCCACACAGTTTGTAAGCAATATAAGTCTCTGTGTTTACTTGGTTGGGTCTGAGTGGCTGTGGGACTGGCGGGTGTCAGAGATTTGTCCTGACTATGGGCCAGGCAGAAAAACTCTAGCTACATCTGCTTTTCTCTCTAGTCTCATTTCCCCAACACACTGTTCTTCTCAGTTTGGTAGGTAGATTGTAGTCGGATTTTTCTTTGGACCCTCAGCTCACAAATAATGACACAGAGACTTACTATTAATTATAAAATGTTGACATTAACTTAGGCTTGTTACTAACTAGTTCTCATAACTTAAATTAAGCCATATTCTTAAATCTACAGTCTACCACGTGGCATTACCTCTCTTCCATCTTGTCCCTCCTGTTTCCTCTCCATGTCTGGCTGGTAACTCCACCTTTCTTCTTCCCAGAGTTCTCTCTCTGTGTCTGGAAGTTTCACCTATACCTCCTGCCTAGCCATTGGCCATTCAGCTTTTTATTACACCATTCACAACAATACATCTTGACACAGTGTACAAATGTCCCACAACAGTAGGTCAAGTACTTCTCAGCCTCAGGAACTTCTGCCTGGAACTCTCTTCCCTCTGCTCTTAAAATTGTTCTAATGGTTTATCCTTAAAATAAGGAAGTAAAGAGAAAAAGTGCAAATGCCCACATGCCTTCCAACCAGAAATAATTTAGTTTTAGATAGTCTAGTTTTATTATATCTTACCTAGGATAAGTTTTCTTCTTCAGGGCATCCTTAAGAAGTATATTTAAGTAAGGATTTGTTACTGGTGAATGGAGTCAGTTTTTATTTACCTGAAAAGGAATTTTCTCTCATTTTCATGCTTGATTGGTATGATTTATTTGGGAGCTGGGTGGCAGACCTCCCCCAAAAAGAGTAAAAAACAAACAACACATTTCACCTTTGGTTTTATCTTTAATATAGTTTTGTGTTTACCATTTTTTTTACTAAAATAGCATGTAGTAATATTATTATAAATATGCAGCATGTACCTAGTGTCAGTTTAATGCTGTTATTATACTCACATACTGTGTTTCTATGCACCATCAAATGGTAGGCAATAGGGAGAACATACCAACCAGCATGTCATGGTCTCAAAATGCACCAGATGGCACTGGACTCGTAATATTTGCACTTGCTACTTTGTCTCTGGAGGGGAGTGATATGAAAAGATACAAACTTGAATGCATGAAATTCTCAAAGGAATTAAAAAAAAAGTACGGGCTATTTTCCATATACATTCTGGAGAAGGTAGAATACCCAACTCTTTCCAGAAATGATTGGCTTTTCTTTCTTAAAAATTAAGAGGTGGTGGTATAGGAAAAACCTTTAGAAGTCCCCAGGCCTTCTCCTGATCGTCTTTTTGTTTAAGGTGTTGAAGCCAAGGCAAAGAACTACTCTGTCTTTACTGGGCTGAGCAAGAGCCCTGGGTATTCTGATTTCCAAACTGTACAATTATTTTTCTTTCTTCCTTTTTAATTTTAATTTTTTTTTTTACTTCCATAAAACTCCATATAGGGAATTGCAACAGATGAAATTTTGGATAAGTAAACAGATAACATAGCTGCCTTGGGGAAGAGTTGAGAGGCTTTTCTAACATCCATCTTGCTTTTATGATGAGTTAGTGAAGATAACCAGGGTTGTATTATCCTTCCTTAAGAAACTGTCCCTCATATTGGGCTCTGGGGAGTTCTAACCAAAACCTGGACAAGTGACCTTGCAAGGCCCAAGGACATCCCCCTGTGAGTCATTCTGTGGGACAGCAAAGTCTTGGCATCCACTTAGGCTTCTTCTCATATCCCTGCAGAAATCTAACATGATAATCACTGCTGTTTCTTCGTCAATTCATTCTTTGGGGGAAAATCTTCTGTTTGTCACCATCAGGGCAAATGGGTATAAACAATAAGTAGGAATTTCAAGAACACTTCAAGCTTGAACTTGGCCAGCACAGAGTGACCCCTATTTCTAGACCTTGGTGTGCTTAAGAATCCATGTTATGGATGCTTGAATCCCTGAGGTTCTACCTCTAGAGCTGGAAGCAAAGCTTGAGTAGTGTCCTTTAATAACTGTTCTGGTGTTAGGTGTCATTGGCCTGTGTCCTGCACTGAAAAAACCTTGCCTTACAGAGTGGAGATTTTATCTCTTTACCTTTCTGTAGTCCATAACCATGTCTTTAGTTCCTTCCATTTCAAAGCATCAATCTACTTCTTGATGGAGTCCAGCTCCGGATAAGGGCAGGGTCTGAAGATGGATGGATGCAAGAGTGGCAATGGAAAAATCAGACATGGGATACTTCTTAGTTTGTGATGGAGGAATAAGACATGGGACACTTCTTAATTTTGTTTTAGGAGAGATGGACAGAGAGGAAGCGCATCTCAGTATGCCTTGTCCTGCTCTGACAACCTGTATCTCTCACAGGCTTTATTTATACAGAATTTAGTAAGTAGGAATACATTCGTGATGTTCCAAAACATAGATCATAACATTTTTGTTTTTGGACTTGTTTTTCACTTCCTTTTGCTCATCTTTTAGTCATCATTAATAAACTATGACAGAACTGAGTTATCATTTCGAATCATTTTCCTTCAGATTTTGACATCATTAAGAAACAGAGTTATCATTCTTACTCATTAATCCCATAACCCAATTTTAAGAATCTAGAGGCATGTGACAGCCTATTCTCAGGCTGGTAGCTTTGGTTGCTTCAAGGACACTAGACCAAAACAAAAAATCTTCAACCACCCTGGGCATTTTGCCATTTCTCAAGCAGTGTATTACTAACTCTCAGTGGTCAGAGTGCCCAGGAAAAATCCTCAGGTCAAAGTTGCTACAGTTATTATTCAAATTCTGGCATAATACAGTCAATGTTCACATTTACATCTTTATAGAATTTGTCTATATATCTAATCCTGACATTCTGTTGTTCCTTGGTCATATGACATTATAGTGGCTCTGCATGAGCTAACTGTTCTAAAAGAGGGAGGTCCTGACACCTCATACTTTTATCATCTTTCCACTCCATACTTTGTTCATCAATATGCCTCTATGTAGGGCAGAGTTGTATGCCACGTAAATGTCTGAGTGTACAGTGGGAAGAGGCTTGTAATCTGAACTGTGGCCAACTCCTCTAGCCCACAGAATCTTGTTGATCTTGAGTTTGCTTTGTTTTGAATATCTTGTTCCTGTGTAAGTACAGGGACAGATGTTTCAAGAATGTCTCATAGCCTCATGAAGAGACCTCTGGCTTCTTTTACGTGTTACAACCTCCAAGGCATAAGGAACACCTTCAAGTAGATAAGGATATCTCCCTCAAAGTGGGAGGGGGTGGGAATAGTATGTTCTGGGGAAGCTTAGAAGCAACATTCCTGAGAGAAGGCATAAATAATTCATAAGAAAATTTCCATCAATCTAATATGCCCAGATTGTACAAATATTAAAAGTGCCCCAAGTATGCAACAGATGGAGATGAAAGCCAAAGGTGACATGGCAGCTATCATGTGGCTCAGTTTCGCTGGATCTTTGTCAAGCAGCTGTGCTGGCTTTATGACTTCTGCCATTCCATTCAGATATGGCTGTGCCAACTGCTGACTGCCTCAGCTTTTTTGGATAATTGGTTTATTTACAATGAGGCAAGTTAATGGTAATTACCTCAGAAGGGTGGAGTCTATCCAGGCCCAGGCCATGAGCCTTCTGTGGTATGACGTGAGTGAAGAAAGGTGTTTGTGGTTGACCCTCTTTTTTTTCCTATTGTGAAATGAAAGTTGTATATATTAAAAACACGGAATGCTTCATGAATCTGCATGTCATCTTGTTTGGGAGCCATAAGCTTGCCTGTATTGTTCCAGTTTTAGTGTATGTGCTGCTGAAGCAAGCACTGGAGTTGACTTTCAATAGAAAATAGCCTATTGTCTGAGACACGTCTCCAGAATGCTTCCCAACTGTCCTAGTTGCACACCTCTTGAATGCCATGCATTCCCACAAGTGGGTGTGTCACACACACCTGCAGAGGCCCTGCACACCTGCTGCTTCTCCTCCCTGCCCTTCTCTTTGGAGGGAAGACTGTTCATCACCATAAAAGAATAGAAACACGTCACTGCTCTGTCCTCGTACTGTCTCCTCCTGGTGTCTGCAGCTGCTAGTTCTGTTGCAGATGCCATCCCGACCTCCCAAGCTCTACTCAGAGATGCCATTAAATTTGTGTCACCAACCCTGGCTGAAATTCTGACAGAGCTGGCATCAACTGTGATTATAGCTTCCAAGACAAGATGAAGTCATGATAGATTTCTTCAGTTCTGCAGGAGGAGAGCTTATAGAAACATTACGACTTAGGGTGATGTGGTCATGTCACAACACAATCAGGCTCAACACCCTGTTTTCATAAGGCAAATGGGAGTGTGTGTGTGTGTGTGTGTGTGTGTGTGTGTGTGTGTGTGTGCCAGCATTGAACCTAGTGCCTCAAGCATGCTAGGCAAGGGTCTGATCACTACGCTGCACCTCCAGCCTGGAAAATAGGATTTTAGCATTTTCCCCCTTTTCCTTTTCTAGTGGTTCTCTTATCTCCTTCCACCCCCTCACTTTCATCTTAAAGGCAAATAGAACTTATACCTGAATTGACAAGACTTTTCTAAAAAACAATTTTTCCTGCATTCATTGGCCTATCTCATCTTCACGAAAATATGCCTTAATTCCTTATTTCAACCCAGTACTGTTCACTGTTCTTGAGTCTCCAGCTCTATCCCCCAACTTTCCCTACAGTCATCTCTGTCCTCGTTCGCATGCTTCATTTCAGCATTCTTAAGGCTCTCTTCCATCAATCTTTGTTTCACGTGGCTTAATAGTTGTTTTGAGGCATGTTCCCAAAGATGGTTGCCATATTAGTCAACCCATATGCTTTCCTTATGCTGTGGTCCGAATGTGAAACGTCCCTTCAGGCTCAGGTGTTGGAATATTTGGTCCTCAGCTGGTGGCACTGTTTTGGTAGGCCGTGGAACCTTTAAGAATTAAGGCCTGGAGCTGGGCGATGGTGGCACACGCCTTTAATCCCAGCACTTGGGAGGCAGAGGCAGGCGGATCTCTGTGAGTTCGAGGCCAGCCTGGACTACAGAGTGAGTTCCAGGAAAGGCGCAAAGCTACACAGAGAAACCCTGTCTCGAAAAACCAAAAAAAAAAAAAAAAAAAAAAAAAAAAAAGAATTAAGGCCTGGCTGGAGGAAGTAGGTCATTGGAGTTTGACTCATGGGTTAGAGCCTGCACGTGGTTCTGGCCTGGACCTCTCTCTGTTTTCTGCCCTGCTGAGATGTGAGCAGGAAGCTGCTGTTTGCACCCCCACTGCCACGGAGCATCCACTGCCTTGTCTTTCCCATCATGATGGACTGTGTTCCACTTACACTGTGAGCCAAAATAAAATCCTTTTGTGGCCTCTTGTCAAGTATTTGTTTACAGCTATGAGAAAAGTAACTCAGACAGAAAATTGACACAGAAACTATAGCCATTTCTGATTATATAGTTCATAGGCCTTCTGAACTGGTTTGTGGGGGGAATATGGAAGAGTTTGCAACTGTGAGCTATAGAATCCCTAGAATGCTACAAGCAGAGCTTAATGGGCCATGCTGGTGGGTTTGAGAAAGACCAGAATGTGAATGGAAATATGGAGAATAAAAACTTAGGGGTTTCAGAAGAGAACAGGACTCTATCAGGAACTGGACTGGAGGCCATTCATGTTTTATTCTGGTGAAGAATCTAGCCACATTTTTCTCATATCCTGAAAACTTTAGTGAGGCCACGTTCAAAAGTAATGGACTAATTGCTTTCGTGGAAGAAGTTTCAAGACAGCACAATATTGGGACTATGAAAATGGTCATTGCTCACAGCATTTACATAGGTTTATAATGAGCAATCCTCTTTACACTTTTTAAAAAGATTTGTTTAATTTTATGTGTATGAGTGCTTTGCCTATATGTGTGTATGTGTCTGGTGTGTGCTGTGTGTGTGCCTGGTGCCCAGGGAGGTCTGAAGAGGTTGTTGGACCCCCTGGGACCAGAGATATGGATGATTGTGATCCACCATGTAGGTGCTTTGAACTGAGCCTGGGTCCTCTGCAGGAGCAACAGTGCTCCTAACCACTGAACCATCTCCCCAGCCCCTTCTCACTTTTTGAGATAGGGTCTCACAAAGTTGTCTGAATTGGTCTTATCTGTGGCTCAGGCAGTCCTTGAACTTGTGATCCTCCTGTCTCAGCTTCCCAAAGAATTACAGAATGGCATCAACAGGCTCAGTTTTTTTTTAATGTATTTTAATCCATGTTGTCTTAACTACATATGTAAGCCAGTATAGCAGTTCTTTATAAATCACCTTATAATTCAATTTACAAAAATTTAGTTCAATAAGGTAATGAGTATAACAATGCATTTCCTCTGCCAATCTTAGTTATAAACTGTCTGCTTCAAAGCCCTCAGATCATCTGGATAGCTGCTGCTGAATGCACTTGGGGGCATTCCTCTCCTAATGGCCACACTTGGTTCCCAAGTGTGCCTTGTCCTTATGCATAACACCTTCTTCACCTACTTTGATAGTTTCCTGCTGAAAGACTACATTTCCCAGCTTTCCTTGTGGACTGTGGAAGTAAATTCTGCTCCTAAAAGAAATTGCCCCCCCCCCCCCCATTTTCCTCTGTGGGCATTTTGGCCATCTGCATTTGTGGGTGGCAAAGATGCCCCCTAACCATGGATAACCATGGTCACACCTAAGGTTAGATCAAGTCTCTCTTTCTTTCTGCCTGTCTTTGACAGTTGATTTTATATCTGTAGACTCAATAAAGTCTATTAAATGAGTCTATTAAATCAGTGGTTCTCAACCTGTGGGTCATGATCCCTGTGGGGTTGCATATCAGATATCCTGCATATCATATTTACATTATGCTTTATAACAATATCATATTTACATTGTGCTTCATAACAATAGAAAATTTCACAGTTATGAAGTAACAATGAAATAAATTTATAGTGGAGGGGAGGTCACCACAACATGAGTATTAAAGAGTTGTGGCATTAGGAAGGTTGAAAACCACTGTATTAATATCCCAAACCCTTGGATTCCTCAGGAGGAGATGACTTAGATGAAGGAGAATCTCTCACCTAGCCTCACCTGTGGCGCTCTGAGACTGTAATCTAGTCTCTGCCCAGAGGGAGAGCTCCAGGGCCACGCCTGCATTCTCTCCTTGAAGCCTCAAGTACACGAGCTTCAGCAGTGATGCTTGTGGGTGTTTTCTAAGAAATCTCAAAGCCAGTGTTTGATAAAGCTCATTTAATGTGGTTAACTTGCCTTACAAATTATACCTCTAGACAACCATTCTATTTTTTAATTGAACGACGTTAAGAAATACGCTTACTGCTATCAGTGTGTGGTGACCTAGACATTTGTCCATGGGCAGAAGGAGTGAAGAGTTGGTTTTAGCCTTGTTTGCTATTTCAGTCTATGATGTAAATTATGTATTACAGACTCGACATGACTGACTGCCATCATCTTTCACCTGTTGGCTGAGTGTATGGAGTGAGAAGGCAGAGATTTTTAAAAGGTTCTGTTAGCAGGGTCCATTTTAGAAAACTTTGTAAAGTGAATCATTTACTCTTGACAAGGCAGATGTTGTCACTGGAAGTATACTTTTGAATTGAAAATTAAAAATCGTCTCTTTTTTGAAACTACAACTTGTGATTAAATTGTTTCTTGGATCATAGGCATAAATATTTGATGTAAACAAAAGTATATATTATCATGTTTTCAAATACTAGGTATGGTTGCTTAAGGTAATTGTCCCAATTTTTAAATATTTTCCCTTATAAAATTGTTTCTAACTAGAAATTTTGTTTTATTTAAGATGCTCTGTTTTGTTTTGTTTGTTTGTTTTTGTTTCTCAAGACAGGGTTTCTCTGTGTAGCCCTGGCTGTCTGGGACTAGCTTTGTAAACCAGGCTGGCCTCAAACTCAGAGATATACCTGCCTCTGCCTCCCGTGCTGGGATCAAAGGTGTGTACCACCACTGTCCGGCCAAGATACTGTTTTTGTTCATGAAATAACAGCTGATATTGTTACTATTTAGAGAAATATACAAAGTTCCATATGTGGAAGCAGGAACCTCACTCAGACCCTTTCCGTCCAGATGCATTTCTTAGAACTGACTGTGACTTCTTTTACAAGGTTGCAGGTGCTTGTTCCTGATTCAGGAGTCTGATGTAACCAACAGCTAATACATTTCCTTATCCTGCTACAGAACTCTGGTACATGATCCAGCCAGTTGTACACCTGCATTTAACTCATGTTAATCTTGATGTAAAAGTTTTCATTCTCCTAATGTTCTCCACAAAGTTGTACAGTTATTACCTCCTGACTTACGTTCTGGATTTTGCTAATGGTTAAGTTTATCATGGCCCTCTTCTGAGGTATTCTAACTGCTGCTCCTCTGATCACCCTTCTGTTAGCCTTGAAGCTGTTGCTGAAAGATCGACACCTCCAAACCCCTAAAAGCAGTTCAGGTGACCTTTAAAAGGGAACTAATGGGCCATGGACCACCGAATTCATCCCTCTTCTTGCTGCTCTGGACATTGTTTTTGGGACTTGGAACTAAACCGGATGCACTGAAGCCTTCTTTACATCAGTTAGCCTCTGTCTCACCATCTCAGGTCAGCCTGACATCCTTCAGGATCAGCTGCACTCCTTGACTGCTGCAGTCAATTGAAATTAAATTAATTTTTTAAAATTCATTTGTTCATTAAATTTAAAAGGAGTGGCTTTGACTGCTGCTAACTGTGGGATTTGTGCTCTCTTCTATGAACATGCTGCTTTCAGGTCAACAAACCCTAACTGCTTTGAAATGGGTCCTAG